ACAACAATTTGAAAGTTTTGGACGCTTTGATCGGTCGCAACAAATATCTGATCGGAAATCACTTAACAATTGCTGACTTTTCATTGGGGGCTATAATCGCAAACTTTCATTGGTTTGACTTCTCGTTCAGTGGTTATCCTAATATAGAGCGCTGGTATTCAACGCTCAGAGAATTGCCATATTTTGCCGAAATCAACGAAATTCCCAAAGAGGAAAGGGATGCCTTCTTGGCTAGAGTTAGGGTATGGATCGCATCCAAACAAAACAAATAATTTTTTAATACATTTATTTTCAAACTCTATTATTACTGAAATTTCACAATTTGTATGAAGCTTATATTTACGACACAATAAAAATTTTCAAATTCAAAACATTGTAACTTTATTCAGTATTTGAATTTCTTTCTATGTATTGATTTACAACTGATTTTATGGAGTGAAACCCAGATTTGCAAAATAGCTAAAATCTGTCAATTTATATGTTAAGTAATACTGACAACAAAATCAGCTAAACTTATACAGAACATACAGCATAATGTCAAAATAGTCTTCAAATAATCTTTTCTTTGGGGGCTATAATCGCAAACTTTCATTGGTTTGACTTCTCGTTCAGTGGTTATCCTAATATAGAGCGCTGGTATTCAACGCTCAGAGAATTGCCATATTTTGCCGAAATCAACGAAATTCCCAAAGAGGAAAGGGATGCCTTCTTGGCTAGAGTTAGGGTATGGATCGCATCCAAACAAAACAAATAATTTTTTAATACATTTGTTTATTTTCAAACTCTTAATGTAAATTTATTACTGATATTTCACAATTTGTATGAGTCTTATATTTACGACACAATAAAAATTTTCAGATTCAAAACATTGTAGCTTTTTTCAGTATTTGATTTTCTATATATGTATTGTATGTATGTATACTTTCTATGTATTGATTTACAACTGATTTTATGGAGTGAAACCCAGATTTGCAAAATAGCTAAAATCTGTCAATTTATATGTTAAGTAATACTGACAACAAAATCAGCTAAACTTATACAGAACATACAGCATAATGTCAAAATAGTCTTCAAATAATTTGACTAATAATTCTAAAATGTCATTAAAATCATTACTAATAATTGAATACATAATTTATACAATTGATTATAAATGAATTGCATTTCATCACAAGAAAATTCATTATTATCAATACTTAGGGGTAATTGTGATAACTAGGAATAAGTAGTAAACACTCATATTGTAAAATATAAGTTTATGGAAATGTACAAGGCTAACTACAATCATTTGTATAGAGTCTGTAGTATTGAGACAATATTTATCATATCGCTTGTCCTTCACATTGTATTGTATGTCTGATTGTATATAAATAGTTGGTTTAGTATTTGACTATTCATTAGAGTTGTGACTTTTATGAAAACCTCATATTTAGATACAGTACTGTATTTTCGAAGTTCAAAATCAAATGGGAATAGATTTATACGTAAACAAGTTCAGTACCCCATCCCGGGCTGTCCTCATGACTGTCCGACAACTACAGGCGTCAGTGAATATCGCAATTAACGTCAAATACTTGGATTTATCGGCAAATGAACACATGACACCTGAATTCTTAAAGGTATGCCATATAAATGCCCAGATCAATAGTGATTTATTTTTAAAAAATAAATTATAGATAAACCCGGCTCATACAGTGCCCGCAATCAGTGA